TCTATGGACCCGTAATTAGACAAGGCTAATACTGTTAGCTTTTCCTTGAAATATCGCAATGCTGTTCGCTGGAGTTTTGCAAGCTCGGCACAATGTCGATCATATGCTTCTGTTCGACTATATTGAGCCCCTGTCTGATCATCTATAGTGAAGTGAATATAATGACTCAATAGAGAATATTGATCACGAAGTAAACCGTTTTCTTCGTCGTTAAACATGGGAGAAAGCCGTAGAGCAGGTAAGATATGTAGGTCCTGAAGCAAAGTGTTGACGTATCGCCTTGTTGGAAGCTGACTCAACAAATCGGAAATAAATTCAACGAATCGTTCGCAATAGACGACATGCTCTTCTTTTCTCTTCTCGTCGTAGAGCAAGCGTAGAAAGTCCAGCGTCAAAGTATAAAGCCAGGCTCTCTCAAATCGTAACCGGGCCTTGGTTGCATCATCTGCCGAGTCGTACCTTTTGCCTGCCGCCTTCCAGGCTTTTCTGAGCTGTGCATTCTGACCCAATTTATTTTCTCGTTTCGACTCGGTAGAAAGATTGTGCCATATGCCTATAGAAACCAACGGGGCACATTCCTTCCTCACACTTGCCCAATCAAGGCTCTGAAAGGCATATATGGTAAAGCAAAGTAGGTGGGTTCGTATCGGTAGAGATAGCGTCTGGTCAAGGGTCATAGAGAGTACGCGGGTGAACAAACTCGAGAACTCGGCCGGACGGTCTTCGAAGATGCTCCATGTCTCGAGTCTTTCCCTTGCTTTGACGTTCGTAATCAGGACTATTAGGAGGACGTGGAAATTGGATGAATCTTCGGAATAGCCAGGCCAAAGGTAACTTTCGAGGGTCTGTAGTCCTTCGAGTACAAGTAATAGCCTGTAGGGGAAACTATCTTTCTCGAGCACATCCCAAATATCCCGTTTCAGTACCTCGTTCTTGACCTTAACCCTCTTGGCTCGCTTGGTAGTCTTCAGCCAATGCTGCCTTGCAAGCTGGGCGAACTCGCTCTCGCCCTCTAAGTCGGCAATGGTTGGTCGCGGTTCGGTACCGCGAGACTTGGACTTTGCATCGCTTTTCTTCAATCTTTTCGCGGTCGGCATGGCTGATAAATTACCCTGGCGGTATGCCGAGGAATTCTATGCCTGACTTATGACCTATGGCGGTACGGTACGGGCATGAAACTAATTAGTTATTGGACGTTACGTTAGGTATCTATACGATAAAGACGATAGAGAACATCACGTTGTAGCGCAAACATTTACTTTCTCAGCCTTGTCGCGTGTAGTTGTTGATAGGTAGGTAATCAATACGTATTTTTTTTGATTGCATATCCCCAGTTTTCTTTTCCCGATTTACCCCTGCTCTTTATATATTATGCTACAGCATTGTACTTGCCATCCATGCACAATGACTCTAACCCCTGCATTCATACCCCACTAAGTACTATCATCTAACCTTTAGTAGCTTAGTCAGTATTAAGAGGTATCAATGTACCAACATCTAAATCAGAAGCTCAGCCTTCTTCTTCTATTCAATTTATTCCAAGCTCAACACCTCCGATCTGAGCAAAGACTAAACCCATAGAGAACGTCCTGTCAATTTCCAATATTCACACTCAATCTATCGATCCAATGTCTGTATTTCTGACATGATTCGACAACTTCTCGACAATTATTCATTCGTTTGTTCGTTAATTGCCTACGCGTTTCTTTATTAATATCCGGACGTGAGCATCCAATTCAGCTAGAATCCGTATGTTCAAGGCTACGATCGAAAAATACCCTCAGCCACGATATCCCCAGCGAAGTTTACGATGCCTTCAGCGAAGCATCTGGACCACGAAATACCCCAGGTAGACGCCTTTGCGGCGCTTCTGAAGGACGCTCTAGTTCATGCGCAGTCTGTCAAGTCGGCTACAACAATCGAGCCTCCACTCACTAAGGTCGACTTTGAGAATGTACTTGCGCAACTTCCCACTATATTTCCATGCGCTTCACCGGATTATGTTTCGGAGAACCTAGCATCCGAGAAGGCTCGTCAGTACGCCGTCGTGGAAACGGCCGCGCGGAATGTGTTTAGCAGCTTAGTTGTTAGTAGCAAACTCCTTAGTATATCCGCTGTTTGTCTCCTATTGCTGACCCTTTCTAGGCTAGGACATCAATTGATTCCCCCGAGTTCGTCCAAATCTGGAATCTCTTCGACTTCCTGTCGGTTCTGTCTGATAGCGAGCAATGCGACGCTGCCCTTCTTTTCTGGCTCGTGGAAGAGCTACTCGACAGTCAAACGACCGAGGGATGTAGGAAGATATTCGACTTCCTTGAGTCTCGAAGAGAGCAAATCATCGCACAACATTTAAACTCCAAGAAGCTAGTTATTCTCAGGTCTTGCAACGATCTTCTACGCCGACTATCGCGCGCTGAAGACACAGCGTTTTGCGGTCGAGTCTTCATATTTATGTTCCAATGCTTCCCTCTGGGAGATAGGAGCTCGGTTAACTTGCGCGGAGAATATCATGTCGAGAATGTTACGTCATTTGAAGAGACACCAGTCCAGCCAGACGACTCGGCGGATAAGATGGCTGTGGATATGGAAACTGACACAACAAAAGATGGAAAAGACGAAAACAAGTCTACGGCTAAAGCGGTCTCTTTCGATGGCAAGAACAAGCCAACACCCGAGAAACCCCTCGATACGAATGCTCTCTATCCTATATTCTGGTCGCTCCAACACTACTTCAGTCAACCCACAGTCCTCTTTGATTCTACACACTTAGCAAAGTTCAAGGCTGGTCTAGAAGCCACCATGTCTGCATTCGATACAGTCGCGAAACTCCAAAGAAGTACAAAGGGTTCTGACGAGAGCAAGATACCCCAAAAGAGAAAGCATGGCGAAGGAGATGACGATCTCCGCAGTAGCACAAATAACCCTAAGTACCTCACAAGTAGAGAGCTTTTCGAACTAGAGGTACGTGCTATGGCTTACGGAACCTAGCTAGTAGAGCCATGTCTAACTATCATTTAGATGGGCGATCTATATTTCAGGCGTCACATTCTTATACAGGCGTTTATCATCTTAGAATTTCTCCTATCGCTCACCCCCCAGGCCAAGGCAAAACTCGCCAAGATCAAAGTCCAGAATAGGTCAGTAATATACGGCGACCAAAAGCTAGGAGAAGAAGATGTAAGTCCACCTATAATCATCACAACCTAAAATTATTAACCATCCTCAGGCAAAATGGACATCGGCCATGAGGGATAGGATAGTGCTCTATATGCAAGCTGACTCTGATGGATTCTTTTTTCATCGTGTGATCGAGAGCGTAATCTCGAGAGACAAGAATTGGGCCCGGTGGAAAGTTGAAAGTTGCCCACCCATAAAGCGAGATCCCCTTTCGCCTACCGATTTCGCGGAGGGGAAGGCCAGTGCAAAGCGCATCGCAACTAATAAGAGGCTGCGCCCTGTGCCCATGGGATCACTCTCTCTAGATTTCCTAAAGGAGGAGGACAGTGAAACAGCAATGGAGAAGTTAAAGGATCCAGAAAGATGGAGACTTCCTGACCTGGGTGTCTTCAAGGAGAAGATAGAATCAGACGACCTCGACCTCGACTTCGCGAAAAGCGAGAGGGAAAAGTCGGAGATACTCGAGGCTAAAGCGAGCAAGACTTGGAGAGCTCTTAGAATTGCTCGGAGATCAAAACTTGCCGTCTTTGACAAGATCGACGATTGGCAAAAGGTTGATGTCATCTTTCAGGAGCAGCCAAGCTCAGATGATGGTGAAGAAGAAATAACTGAAAACGACCAAATACCGGAAGATAGACGGCCGATCATTTTGACAGGACCAAGCAAAGTCGGCAAATCGACATTACTCTCAAAGCTCTTAGAGGACCATAAGGGTGTATTCGGAAGAGTCGTCTCGCATACTACCCGAGCTCGCAAGGATGAAGAAGTCAACGGCCAGCATTACAATTTCGTAGATACCGCGGAATTTAATCATATATTAGAGAATGACTACTTTATGGAGTTCGTCGAACGAGACGGAGTCCAATACGGAACGAATCGAAAGCTAGCTGAAGCTTTAGAGGACTCCGGAAAGGTCCCCATCATCCAATTAGACCGCGAGGTAAGTCCAAATCTATCCATGTACGCTATATGACTAGGTCTTACTAACCCGACTCCAGCGTGCCCAAATGGCCAAAGACAATGGCTACTCTGCACGGATCATCTTCATCACACCACCTAGCATCGAGGAGCTCGAGACACGGCTGAAGAATTCTGGCATAGCAGAAGAAGACCTGGAAAGCATACTGAAGACCGCCCAGGAGGATATCGAGCACTCCAAATCTGGTGAAATTTATGATGCCATCATCACGAACGACAATTTAGACGAGGCATACAAAGCCCTCGAAGAATTCATCTATGGAACCCCAGGAGAGGCAGAGGCGGAGGCTGAAGCTGAAGCAGAGGACGTCAACGGCAATGCAAACGGCGCAGCCGCAGTCGACGACGTAGCGATGGAGGACGCGGTAAATGGCGAGGAGACGCCATCATAAGATGTCGATGATTTCTTCCGGGAGAGCCAGCGTAATGGAGGGTAGGGGTGTAGTATTTCAGTCTATACGAACGGGGCGGATACGGCTTTAGGAATATGCGTTAGGTAAACATTCCACCGTCAGTGCCTACCCTTGAGTCGATTTGGTCCCTACAAACAAAGTAGGTTGGGCATAAATAGAACGGGGAGGGGCCCGAGTTCGAAAAGACATGTTATTAGTAGTCATTCAAGATACCCAGGCAATTAATCTCTATTATCAGGGGTTAAAACAAATTTGAGATATATAAGCGTGATCTATGTATCGGTTAGTGGTTTGTAAAGTACCAGATCCATACGTCCATATCGTATAAGCTTAGCTACCTAAAGCAATTGGGACGGGTTTTGGCTATAAGTCCAAAAAGACCAACTTTACAGTTTCACATAGTTAACAGTAAACAAGACTCGGAAATTAGGTAGGTGGTTAACTACTAATCAGGGTATATTATGTCCCTAATATCTAGACCTATGTATATACCACGGTCCCAAACTCTATAGAGCTCATTCTTGGTATAAAGAGCATTCTAAGACTATTTTTGGCCACGCACCCCCTATGCTCAATCCATATGATAGTACCTGCCTGTCCTATGCTCCGAATACTAACATTTATGCCATCTCCTAAAACAATGAAACGCCACCGCTATGCAGTAAAACAACGAGAGCCAGGGGACTGGGACTGGCTTTTTCTATCTTGTGATATCCAGATCCAGACCGGCCTATCAGATAAGTAACAAGGAGGCCACTAGGAAAGCAACCAAGGCCTCGGTGCCAAGTCCGAGACCCTGGCGTTTCGGACCAGCAGTAGCTGTCGCAACTGTTGCGGTTATGCCAGCATTCGATCGACCAACAGCGGTGATGCTGTTCAGGTTATCTGCTGTCTCGATTGCCGGTCCCTCGTTAAAGAAATCAACCAGTATGAACACGGGCTTGATGCCCCATTGCTCGTTACATGTTTGAGCATGCAGACCCAAGTTGCCTGTGGTAGAGGTCGACGGGCTGTTTGTGATCGTGATATTGTCTGAATCGGGGATCATGATCGAAGCGGCGAGTAAGTTGTATGCAAAGTGATTCATGAGAGGCAGCATCCCAGCCTGGATGGCAGCGCCGGCCGAGCTCTGGGAGGATGGGCGATCGAGGGTACAGTTGAAGCCCGAAAGTGATGTTACCTCGTATGGAGTCTCAAAGACATGATCAAACTCGGATAACAGATATGGATATTGGCTATCCGCCGTAATAGATGCGATAAAAGTCACCAGTCGCGTATTCGCACTGATCATTTCCTGTAACGTCGGCCATGTAGTCCCTGAATGCGTGTATCCATATGTATCGATACCCGAGCCACTGAAGACGGTCCCAAAATCGGCTGCGCTCTTGCCATCAGAGTTAACAATCAGAAGGGTCACCACTTCGTTCGGGTGAGTATCCATCCACGACTTAATGGAGGCTAGCCAAGTCTGAAGAGTCCCAGCATCGAGTAAACTGCAAGACGTATGGCATAGTTCGATAGCGCCATTCAGATCGTGGACTTGGGCCTGCAATAATCGGATCCCTGCATCTAGAGCAACAGTAGCATTGAAGTACTGGTTGCCAGCTATCGAATTACTCGTGCTTGCGTCTCGGAGAAAGGCAGAATCGTGAGCTCCCATATGAGTGATATCGCTATACGAGCGGCTGCATAGGTCGGGCGAGTTATTGCAAGCGGTCGTCGAAGAGGCGGCAGAGGCGGACGCCGTCGAACTGGGGGTTACTGAAGCGAAGGAAGAGGTCGACGAATAGACCGAACCCCCGTATCCACCATCATAACTGCCATCCTGCGGCAGGGAATAAACCGTTACCGTCAAGGCAGCGGTGACTGTGAAGAAAGTAGATAACGAAGGAAACATGTTGTTCTAGATAGGTACTGGTAAAGGAAAAAAGGAATAACTACTATTCACTGTTCTAATAGTATGTATATAGACAGAACAGACGACGGAATAATAGTAAAGAGAAAGAGACATATACCTACCGGAAAAGAAGTAACGGGGAGTAAGTATTACCTTATATTATCTTAAATACGAAGAGATCTACTTCGTATCGTTATATGTTTTAAAGTTGGCCAGGAGGTTAAGGGAGAGAGAGAACCTCCCACTAAACCCAACCATCACAAATAAAACAGTACCATAGTAGTTGTCCATCAAGACGATCCCTGTCTACAACGAGCTCTAGATCGACTATGAATGATTCGTGTTTTGTGGGGTGGCAAGCTTGTGGTCGGCAACCGATCGACTGCGCCTCCACGGGACGCGAGGGTCGTCCAGCTTTGCGTCGTCAGCCTCTTTCAGACTTGAAACGAACCAAGACCCGCCGGCACAGCTTGATTTCGTAGCAAGCCGCGACAAGTTGGCTAGTTTTGGATTTGGCAATGATTGCTATCATGCGGAATTTGGATGGGTGAAGATACCCACCCACAAACAACGATTGGCCTTGTTTTCCTCTGGTGAAAGAGGCAGTAGCAAAAAAAAAAAAAGGTGGTAGGAATAAAAAGTTGAATGGTTGGTATTGTTTGCACAAACAGTGTATGCACTTAAATGGCTTGTGCGGGCTATGAGTTGTACAAAAAAAGCCCCTTGCTACTTGCATACACGACTTATGTAACGCTGCACAGCGATATTACGTAGCTGTACCTGACCCCTGTCCTATTTTTATCTTTTCCCTAGTAGGCGCATATCTGCAATTTTCCCATTGGACGAACTTTCGATATTCAGGGTCCCAACCGTCTGGGACCCGTCAAACCACGCAAGCCTCAGCCCCCAGATATGTACATTGCCTGCCGCGCAAGTTCATCGTAAAGACGGCTCCGTATGTAATAACAGTCATCCCTTGGTTATTACGCATTTTTCACGCCATGTACGGAATATAAACCATTAAAGATAGCTGCTCTCTGTAACTTGGATCATTAAGACAAATATAATCCGGAGTGGGTGTTGACATTTGTTGTGGTTTATCCTAGTAATATAAAACGTGTTGTACAGTATCTCCAGGCTAAGTCTCAAGTAAACTCAAAGGGGGTTATTAAATCATATAAGGTCATTCTACCGTCCTTAAGAAATATATCAAAAAGTATCATATGTCAAGGGAGCGAGCAGTAACACATCACAATCCAAATAACTACCTCTATTAAACTATATTGGTATTCCTAGCCAGTCCGCCCGTATGCTTACCGTTACAGTCACAATAATCCCGCAGGCATCAAGTTTTACCTTGAGCTTATCACGTCCTCATGCTTTTCGTTATCAAAAACCTGCCTCGCTGCCAAGATATAGCCAAGGTGACACGATTACTCCGGATCGTCCGCATACGACTCCAGTGCCGCTTGTTCTTCCATCTCTTTCAGATGTTTTTGTCCTGCCTCCGTAGTGGCATCTATTATTTGTTCCTCTACGCTTAGGATTCCAGCCTATGTAATCGTTAGTAAGACATCGTACCGTACACTTTGACAATGGGTAAAACATACTTCGCTAAGAAGGGCAACGATTTCCTCAGCATCTTCGACCTTCAACTTGCCCAGCACTTCGTTCACCTTATCCAAACTACCAGACTCCAAGGCCTTTTGCATTTCCGGGGTGAATCCTTCGAAAATCTCGCGACCTTTCTTCTCGGCTTCGTCCTCTCCTTTCTCAGATGGGATCCTAATCTTGATTTCGGTACCCGGCTCCACAGCGTGCAATTGGATCTGTTCCACTCCTTCTCCAGATCCACCTTCAGCCTCTCGCTGGGCATTAATTTCAGCCGCACGGTTCTTGATCCTATAGTACGTATCTTGTACATCCTTATAGAAGACGTCTTGCGCTTGGTGACCTTTGGTAGTGATTCGTTTAAAGAAGAGCGCGACGCCGTCCTTACCTAACGCGCGACAATACTGCAACAGGAGAGCTTGGTGGACGCATTGTCGTGCGAAATCATCCTTCCCTTCCAGCTGGGCATCAAATGCCATGATTAGGATACCGTCGGTTTCCTTCTCGGTTAAGATGTGTGGGTGTGCACCAATGAAGGAATGGCTTTCTCGATAATCAGACGCCTTTATTTTAGCGAACTTTTGAGCATCAGGCGATGCAGTGATCTCCTTGTCATCGTCGTCTTCTGTGGTTGAAGACTTCGACTCCTCCGGCTTAGACTGCGAGAAGCCGGGGTTAAGAAGCTCCACTTTGGTGTCGTCGGCTTTCTTTGTCCCGGATGTAGAGGGTGTAGACTTGGTGACATGTGAACTATCAAACCCCGTGTGGATGCTATCGCTTGTGATCTTGCGGCTTTCTTCCTTCTCCAGTTCTGCCAACTTGCTTAATAGTTGCTGTTGTAAATCCTGAACCTTGTTTAGATGTACGCCGATTTCATCCACCATGGCATTGTAACGGTTCTCGGGTTTCTTCTCGTCGAGCTCCTTGTTGACTTGGTCTAGTAAAGTCGCCATCATTTTAGTATACGTGGGTGGCTGCTCTTCTTGCGCGTGGACACCCTCTGGTCGAGCGGGAGGCTTGTCGTCCTCTGGTCTACCGGCAGACTCCATGACAGCTTGGAAAGCGACCTCGGCAGGGTTCCGGGTCTCTGCCTCGGCGGCATGAGCTTTCAGGGCGTTTAAGAGGCTCGATATTCTCTTCAATAATCCATCGTTGACTTGACGTTCGTATTTTAACGTTTCGATCTGGAGCTTACGTTGCTGTCGCTCCATGTGAATTTGGTTTTGCTTGGCGCGAATGAAGGAGCGTTTGTCGACATTGGGATGGACCTCGATATCGGAGTCATCGCTGAGCTCCAGAGCATCCTGAGAGGAGAATATATATTAGCTTCATTCGAGGCTCCCAGGCTCTCTCGTGAGACACGAGGTAAGATAGCTTCATGTACTTACCCACTTGCTATAATCCACTGGCATTTTGACGGTATATAGCTAGGTATTAAAAGGTAGTTTCTTCCTGCGATATCCAGGAATTGAAAGTTAGAAAGATATAAGAGATAAGTTGTAAACAGAATCTCTGTAGACAGAAGCTCTACTTTTCTTCTTTTCGTCTCTTGTATGTAAAGGTGGAGTATTTACGTACCCCGCGATTGGGGATTTATTGATTGGGGGGTTTATCGTTATCGAGAATGTTCTTGCAACCTCCATCCAGTACCTAGGTACCTAGGTTAGATTGGATCCACTGTTCAACCTGATTCAGCCCCACCAGTCACTTTTCAGAGGTACCGGGTACATATCATATAGGGTTTCACAGGCATCGTCTTGTCTAATTCTTTCAACTTTACATAACAATACCCTTTTTCTTTTCTATACCAAAATAATAATTTCTTAGTATTGGAAATCCTCTCATTACTTTTTAATTAATAGGTGCAATTTACTTCTAAGTGATACATAATAGCAAAGTGCCAGCTCTACCTAAATATATTCGAGAAGCACTGCCGGTGGATAATGAGATGATACTTTAGGTAGTCTTCGGAATAGCATACTCTCCACAGCTGCATTAGGAGCCGATCTCATAAGCAGCTCTGCAGTGCGAACCAATTCCTTCGCTGAGTTCTTCATCTCAGGAACCTTGAACGGCTCTTAAAAGTTTGCATGGCGGCGAATATACGACTTGAGATCAAAGCCGCCCTCACGTAGACCCTCCTCCATTTTTGCCGACACAAAAATCCGTCCGTTCTCGATCACTTCACCCTCATCTGTGATGATCTCGCAGACTTCCATGCGATAGGCATTGGTCTCGTAGCTACGAAGCGAGCCCACGTGTTCCGGGGATTCGCACTTCCAGCACATGCCCTTCACCTCATTGCCTTCCGCGGGAACCAAAGCGGGAAATTCACCCCACATCATGGCTAAAGCGTCTCAAGTTAGCAGTTGTTATCGTGTACGGACAGGGGCGGTGTTTACTTACTTCTCCAGCCCTTGATGGACGCGGGGATCAGGGTTGGGTTCTCATCGTCTAGGTCGCACACACGCACCAGAGTTCTCTTAGCCTGGAGCGAGCCGTAGAAAAAGAAATAGAACGGCTCAAATGTCACGGAGGGATGGTTTATAACGTATTTGCTGACTGGATACGCCCGGGTGAGCTTCTGTGCTAAGTCCGCGAGGATAAGGCCAGTTGCTTCAGTACGGAAGCCGCAGAGCTGTACGAACTCTCGGTTTTTGGCGTCCGTGTTATTAATTTCGGGGACCCCAGTCTTGTCAGTAGTCTGCTTTGTGCAAGCCATGGCGGACGTTTGTTGTATCTTGGTTTCTTGCTATGAACTTTGTGGGAAATAGGGGTTTAGTATGAACGCAGTGTAGGGAGGGCTTTTCGTAAGCTGTCAAGTTGCTGAATATGCAGTGCTTTTATAGACATCCTATTCAGGATATCCAATAGTTTATGTAGATATCGGAGGAAAACTATACCTAAGAAAGGAAGTATTCTTAAAAACAAGCTTGTTTGACACAAAGGGGGGAAGCAAAGTGCTCGTTCTCGCGTATAAACATCTTGAACCTTCCGTGCGTGACCTTCCGTGCGTGAATGACTAAGTCCTACAGCCTTGTTTCTGAAAAGCGACAGGGCAAAGTAAGCAGCCAGGCGGTAGACATCAATATGTCTTTGCCGACAATCAATTTTCTGTACTATGTTTTTGACACTGCATATCATGAGGACATTCAACATCACATAACAAACCGAAAAGGGCCTTTCTCTGAAAAGCCACCCAAGCAATATCACTGATACTATTCAACTGCTAGCTTAGGACATGCATATGACTATACAAGTAAGCCCCAATTTACGACTTACATAGGATAGGGGTAGAGTGGAATCTCACCTTCTAGCAGAGAGAAGTAATTCATGTTCTATCTGATATTTCGTGAAACAGAAAAGCACTACTGCTAACATGTAAATATCATGATCAAAATTTGTACCAAAAGTGCCCAAGACGTAGGGATATAGTCTTGACAACTGTGATATATACCTATATATATATATATAATATCCAGCTATAAGCAAGTAAGATATAATGTAGTTTCACGTAAACATAAATTGATGGTCAAAACCAGACCATACCCAAGTAGCTTCATGTAGCTTTAATTTATCCTTAACACTTTACATATTTTAAACCGCGTGCGTTCAACCCGCGCTTATACCACACAAGCTTTCCATAGCACCAATACCGGCGCATATATACAAGCTCCCATACATACATCACGCCTAAGTATGACCAGAAATCTGCTTCGGCTGGTACAGCTCCTCCAAGTACTTCTCCTCCTCATCCGTCAAGACCTTGCCCTTCGCACCAAGGGCCTCGTCAATCCGAGCTATGCTCGAGAAGCCGATGATAGGGCTAGAGACTCTCTTGTTGATCCAAGCGAGCGCCACATGCGCCATCTTCCAGCCTCGCTTGTCAGCGATCTCCTGGACTCGCTTGATGATGGTTAGATCGGGCTCGACGGTCCCGTGCGAGCCCGGCGAGGTGTCCTTCTCGAGCTTGCTGCGCTCCGTGGAGCCGAAGGCCGCGGGCGGACGCGCGAGGTGACCACGGCATAGCGGCGCCCAGGGGATCAGGCCGACGCCGGTATCGTTGCAGAAGCGGTTCATCTCGCGCTCCTCCTCGCGGTACAGCAGATTATAGTGGTTCTGCATGGAGATGAACTTAGTCCAGCCGTTCTTCTCCGCGACGAACTGCATCCGCGCGAAGTTAACCGCCCACATCGAGCTAGCCCCGATATACCGCACCTTGCCCGACTGGACGAGGTCGTCTAGCGCCTTCATGGTCTCTTCGATGGGGGTGTTGGGGTCGAAGCGGTGGATCTGGAGTAAGTCGATATAGTCGGTATCTAAACGCTTCAGGGAGGCGTTCACGGCGTTAAAGATGGCAGCGCGGGATAGCCCGTACTGGTTGACGTAGTCCTTGGAGCTGTTGACGGCTTCTCCGCAGAAGTAATGACGGACGTCAGGAGTTTCACCGACGGCCCAGAAGCACTTGGTCGCGATGATGACCTTCTCTCGCGGGATGTTGTATTTCTTGATAGCTTTACCCACGATAACCTCGCTGACGCCTTGAGAGTAAACATTAGCTGTGTCCCAGGTATTTAAACCCTTATCGTAGGCGGCCTTAAGTAGAGGCAGAGCCTGTAGTATAACATTAGCAGAGTCATAGATGAGTACTAAGTGGTTATTCGTCCAATGTCACTTACATCTGCTTCATCGAGAGCCCACGATTGCGCTTTAGTATCACCGAAACTCATGCACCCGAATATAGGGACTGATATCTTTAGACCACTGGCGCCGAGTCGACGGTATTCGACTTTGGTGTTGTCTAGAGACTCCTTTAAAGATAGGGGAAGGGTAGTAGTAGACATAGTGAATACGATCAAAGCTCGAGCGGTATAATAGGTCGGGATGTTTTAGTAGATGTTAATTGATGATGAGAAGTAGTTGTTGCTCCTTTCTAGTCGATCTCAGGTATTATATATACCTACCTACCTATTTATATGATATAAAGGTTACTTTGACATGCTCTAGTTACCCCCCTTTCTGGCTGAACTCCAAATCCCCCCCCGCACTAACCGGATGTGCGGTCCTTTGTACGGCATAACTGTAACATGGCGGGGTTAACGCCAATAAGGTGAAGTTATCACCAATCTCCATCAGGGTTGAAGGTGAAGTACCTAAAGGTCTATGACATTTACAATGCACCAGGTAAGTTTCCATACCCTGCAGATCGGATATAAAGTCTTTGGTCACATCAATGCCAAGTCTATCGGCATTGAAATATGCAAGATACCAAAGTATGGGTCATATTTCATCCTCCACACCCCCATATACAGTATCGAGAATATATCTTCTTACAAACCACAGACACCATGTACTAATCTTTACTAGTACCTAAATCACATCACGTATATACGTCTATCTCCGTCTTGCTTTCATTAACCTGCCACACGTCCCGATTAGTCGTTATTTAACTCCGGCCCCGTATTAACAGATATTTATCGTGGATCTACTGAAGTTGCGCAGAGATCGATCGTGATATTATTGTACGGGTTCTTGTATCCCTGCATACCGGTCAGCACTAGAACACTTTCGAATACATTTTTATACGTATAAATATATGGGCTGTCTATGAACTTACAATCGACTGACAACATCCCGTGATGTTGTATACAAATAAGTTGCATTCCCAGATCGGATCCGTTGCACCCATTTGATGCGCCGAGACGCCTGGAGAATATGTTAGCATTTGCGCTTATCTTTCTTCGTAGGGTATGAAATAGTGTCGCGCAATGCGAAACTCACAGTTTGTTCCGACTTGGCCGTCAATGTTCGTGCAGCACTTCGGGTAATATCCCCACTCCTCTCGAGTATGGCAACTGAAGATTCCTTGCGACGCTACCAAATGAGAGAAGAGGGCGGCGGCGAGTAATGTTGCTCCGGACTTGAGATACATGTTTATGGTATTGCTCTTAGACTCGAAGTTCTAAGTTGTTATTAAAGATTGTTATTAAATATTAGATGCAAAGTTGACTGATTACTGAATTATGTGATCGATATCTAAATAACATCTTCAACGAGAAACTTAGCTTATATTTATAGTCGCCATCGATAGTCAATAGATCTAAGCAGCGCCACCGCAACGGGTGTTGTTGCTTCCCGTCCCTACGGGCGCAGTTCGCTTGCCCTATGTCACAGGGAAGACAGCCTTCGAATCTCCACACCCGATGGGCGGTGAGGTACCTAGGTATACTTGATACGAGGTTCAAGCTGAAGAGCGAAGTCTTGAAGAGTACGACGGCCCAATGATCATCGAGATGAGGTTGTCTTATGATCCACTTCTCCGATGCTGACAGTAAGCTACCGAGCCGGATGGTTGGATCATGATTTGCCATGGCAGCGTGGTTGCCGAACCGAAGATCCTACCTGTATGTACATAGTCTGGCTGTCTGGCTACCGTATCAGCGTATCTGCCGATCATGAGAGAGTATCATGGCACGGTTCACGTTGCGTTGTTCACGGCTGTCACGTAATGCCAACCAATAGGAATGACTTCCACATAAGGCTCCATCTCGAACGACCAGAAAGAATACGCCAAAAATAACTCGAATGGCTGGAGAATACAGTACTGTATACGCCTAGAAACTGTACATATTATATGCCTATTGGCGGGTTAAGATGGTTCTCGGATAGGTCACAACTACGTCTTCGGCGAACGCATCTCGCTTAAAGCCACGCCGAGATAATTAGGTACCTATTAGCGACGGATATATTTATATACGAGCATGCGCCGCAGCGCACGGAGCCGCCATTGACGAGAACATGCTCACTTACCAATAATTTCTCTAATACCATGTGTTATAAAGCCCAAGGTGTCTGAGTGGCGCAGGGCTAAATGTTAGTGAATTACTCGCATCAAATCCAAGAAACAAATCAAGCGAAGGGTATCATTCATTCATAAAACGTAACGTAACCAACAGCCAAAAATGACCGGGATGATAACAATCCATAAACGAGACGTGTCGTCCTTAGTCGATGAACTCTCCTAAACCTCCTCGTCAGATAAAGACGTAGCCGCCTCTTCGTCGATTGCTTCGTCCTCGACAAGGTTACGGCCGTCGTTTTTAGCCGCCAGGACCCGGGCATATTTGTTATCAGGCCTTGATCCGGCGTACATGCTGGGTGTCATGAGCACTGGCGGGGCACTCGCCGCTTGACTGATATATGTAGCCTTTAAATACGCCAGTTGCTTGCCCGCGATATACCAGACAAATTTCGGGAATTTGCTGTAGTACATCTTAAAGGCAAACGATGCCTTTAATAGATCCCAGCTTGAAAGGCCAATCCTAGCTTGGTCTTCTTGTAGTAGCAGAGATCTGACTGTATCAGACTTCACTTTGTCTGTCGGTTCAATTTCTTGCCATTTGTCATAAATACCGGCAAGCTTGGCATCCCATTCGCCGCGAGACTTCGGCCATTCTTGGGCGACAGCATCGATATCCCTCCTGAGCTTTTCCAGAATCCTTTCCCAAGTCAGCTTTTTTACGGCTTCTTTACGCTCGGTGAATGGTCTTTGGAGTTTTTCATAATATTGATAATACCTTACGAGGTCCTTATCAAAATTCTCTGCTTGGCCAAGAGATTCATAGAATGTCTTTAGCTCTCTCTCGACTATGGGCTGGCCAACGCTAAATTTCACGTAGTCGATTATATGCATAGGCCTGCCTTGAACACTCCAGTTATTCTTCTTGTACTGAGGATCTGGTGGGTCAACTTTGCTCAGGTTTCTGCGCAGCCGAGCCCAGTCTTGGTCCGTGAAAACGATGCCTTGCTTGGCCCGGTCTACTAAATTGCTGATAAGCGTGCTTAAGAGGATCGCGGGTTCGTCTTGCACTGAATTTCGGGCGTAGCATAGCTTTTCCTTGTAATTTGTGCATACACCAAGTAGGTTCTGTTCCAAGTTGAACTTAAACGCTCTTAGAAGGAACTCTGAGGTAATATCGTCGGTTGTCACAAGTTCGTTATACTTCAGAGTCTCTTTGCGTATGACGCCTTGCTTGAATAGGTCTGGAGCATTAGGCATGTCTGCGTTACGAAAGTTGTTCACAATCGTCGGCTCCCAACATACCCAGGCGATATCGCCATCATAATCACCACCAGAGAGCTTCTCAGCAAGGGGTATGTCGCCCTTTGTTGAGAAAATGATTACGTCTTTCAACGAGCCTAACTCGGGTTTGAAAACTGCTTTTACTCTTTGGATATCGCTGGGATAATGTGCAGGTGTACGAGCAACTAGGACGTCAAATCCATGAAGGAAGGTTTCGGAAAACCCAGATTGCTCATCGGTAAATTTGGAGGAGAATCCAAGGTGAACTTCATCTTCCTCTAAAATCCCGAGGAAATCAACAACCATATATGCGTAAGTAGAACGCCCAACTCTTACATTGAGCCGTTCTTGGAGTTCCTGGCATTTTTCCATTCGTAACTTCCAAGCAATGTCGCTCAGAAACTTCAGCTTAGTCGGGTCAAAACCGCTATCTAGAAGAAAGGCCATAATGTCCTCCCGGCTATTTGGGAGACCAGCCGTGAACGGCACCTGGCAATGCTTTGTACGCTCTGTCCGACGGCTTGACGGCGAGTTTTCGTAAACCCAGAGCCTAAACTGGGTAGGGCTTTGCATAGCGGCCTTTTGGGCATCGAGGTCTCTCATGAGGCTGTCTCTCATGAAGTTTCCAACCTGGATCTTCATTTGAGCTGCATTGATAGCCCGGTCTTCAAGAATAGGCAGAAGCTGTAAATTGAGATTGGCAGATTTAAGCTCTCTAGATTCGTTACGAACCTCGAATGTCCGGTGATCATCCTCGATGTAATCGCAATTCCACTTACGCTGAGACGGAGTTGTTTCTATCCATATCGCATCACTGGTATCATTGGTATCTCGGAGCCAAACACCTTTTGCACTACCGAATCGGCCTTGAAAAGCTGCTGGTACGTCTTGCAACCCCATCATATCACGTACAGCTCGCGCAAGGCCATAAGACATGAGGGCAATGCCGTCATTCATAACCTTGTCGATGGGTGATAAGATGTCATTGGGTCGGTGTCGAATCTGTTCAGGTTGGACAATAATAGTCGGATGCGTACGACTTAGACCTAAACGCTCTTAGTAATGTTTTGGGGGACTATAGATGTTGACTGATCATACCTAGCGCGATACGTGAAAAGAGCTTTAGCACTGGCTGGGTCTGATTATTGGGGGTTTGTAAGAGCCATTCGATAAGATCTCCTCGTCTCATCTTGCTATGCATTCCCACTGGCTCACCCTTTGGTGAACAACGTTCCTCTGTTCCTAGACGGCGAAAATCGTTACCGTCTTCAGCGAAGAGGTATATCCGCTCTTGATGTATGGTTTTAGACTGGGGCCCCAGGGCGTTCTCGTTAGTAATCTTTTTGGGCAAGGCTGATTTGAGATAGAACGAAGCCCATACACGGCCAAGCAGCACGTGCGATCCATTGACTAGCCACTGCTGGATACTCTCTATAGCGGATTCACCGAAGTTTTTTATATCCTGGGAACCTAGAGATGGTATCACAAGTTCAAGGAAACGGTCTGATCCAAATCTACGACTTAGACGATGAGGGAGATCCAACTTTAGAGGATTAAGCCTAAGAAGGAATGAAGGCCCATTCTTTGACGTATTCGCTGTGAGCGAAGCAGTAAGCACAACTACCTGATCCCTGGTACCAAACTTATCATTTAGGGCGGCAGTCCAGGCTTCAGGTCGGGACTTTTCAGGAAAGGACTTGCCACGGAATATAGGTAAAGCTTGAAGCCTCGCCCATAGTGTCCTTTGGTCGGTCCATGATGGATCGTATTCAATGCGCAGGTCCTGCACTTGTACGTCACAGTGAAGAGCAATTCGTAGAACTTCCCAGCGAACCACGAACGGGGCACGATCATAGTGATCGGGAAGATGAGCTAGCAAGAGTTAACTGCAATTCTATTTCAAGAGGGGGCAATGCTTACCCCAAACATCATGAAGCCGATGCTCAAATTCCTGGCTACCTCCATGTACCACAGGTGGTGGCATATTCCTTATTTTTTCATTGTCAGGAGAGAGCGGAGAAGGAACTCTGGGAGGCGCCGGGTGTTGAATAGTTGCAGGTGGAGAAGCTGGACGCAAAGAAGGAGAAGGTTGAGAAGGGGTAACAGAACGTGTGGTCTCTTGCTCGGAATAGCTGAAGTCGGAATACGTCGATGATTTGTCTCTGAGGAGATCACTCACATTTTGTTGAAGTAGTTGATGGTGGTGATCGAAAGAGATTTGGAGGGCACGTTCGGTGCTAGAAGACGGAGCCAAGGAATCCGAATCAGACCCGATTACTCGCGATGACGGAAACTTCACGCTCCCCAGGTTGCTCGCAATTACAGTAGTTTGGGTCTCCTGAGAGACCGGAAGGGGTTGATGTTCGTCATGATCTGAGAACACTCGAGACGCAAAAGTTGACCTACTTGTATCCGCGGTAACTTCTACCCGGTAAGGGTCTCTACTTCGACCTAATTTTGGATTGCTCGGCGCCTGGATCGACGATGTTTGGCTAGGTACGGGACTAGCCGTGAGTACGCGACCCCTATCAAGAGCAGAAAGCACACTAGGTGGCCGTTCGTCATCAGGATCACATTCTGTGTCGACTTCTGAGGGAGCGCCCCTATTCCTTTTAGAAGAAGGGCATCCCCGCCATTCATCAGAATAACGCTTGGAGCGCAGGTACCTCGTGGGAGACGAAGGCTCGTCATAATATTGGTACGAAATTGACGGTGCGACGGAAGAACGTCGTGACACGTCCAACGAGCCCATGTCATCCAAAATTGCCCCAAGCAGCTCCAGCAATTGACAACGCTCAGGCTCAGTAGTTGCCCGAGGGAGTTGGCTAGGGAAAGGGATAACCCCAGGT